CTTATTCACAACATAACACTGATTATTTTGAAAAATTCACACCCTGTTCTCTCCATGAGAAAAGATTTTGCAGGCCTCAGACAGGCACAGGCAACAAGTGTCACTTGAATAAAAAGCTCTGTATCATCAGCAGCACTGCTGAGTTTCTCCATCTTACTCCCCTCCTCTGCCACCTGGCTGCAGCTCCTAAACTGGAGGTAAGAGTGCCACTTACTGTTAGACTCATCACATTGCAACTTGAAACCAGTTCTTGAATCTTTGATTCTAAATGCCAAATGTAAAAGACAAAACACTTAGCAGGAAGGATGCTAGTTGACTGTTACTAGCTTACTAAGTACTGGAAATGGTGCAAAGTGCTTTGTAGCCATAATTTCATTTAGGCCTTAGAACAATCTCATAATTTTTATTTCTGTGGTTATTAGTGGTTTTCTGAAAACACTCCAGGGTTTAGAATCCAACCACCCAGATCATAACCTGCTGGCCACATCCAGTCAGCTGCCTGTTTTTGTACAGTCCACAAGCTAAGAATTACTTTATATGTTTAAATGGCTGGAAAAAATCAAAATAACAACATTTCATAACATGTGAAAATCATTTAAGTTTCAGTGTCCACATACAAAGTTGCATTAGAACACAGCCACACTCATTTGTTTACATATTGTCGATGGCTGCTTTTGCACCATAGTACTTGAGTGGTTGTGACAGAGACCTTATGGTCTCCAATGCCTAAAATATTTACTAACTGGCTCTTTACAGAAAAAGTTTGTCAACTCCTGACCTAGATTCTAATCTGAATATGCCACCTGGGAAAACTACAAAACTGATCCTCAGTTTCATACCTACCAAGAGGGGTTTTTAGGAAGAGTAGCACTATAAGCACAGTATCTCTTTAAGATACCTGCAGAAGTCCAAGACATAAACGCCTTAACATGTTCAAAGGGAGCTCATCATTTCCATCTATAGATCTGCTCCTCCCTCAGTCCAGTATCATGTAGTGTCTGAGAACAGACTTTAGGGTCAAAGTATTGGATTCCACTCTTGGTCCACTACTTATTACCTATGACTTGTTAACTCTATGATGCAGTAGAGAGGTGGTAAATTATGGAGGATGAGTGCTTAGGCTTTGAAACCAGAATGTTTCAATCCTAGCTCTGCCACTCACTAGCCTGGTGACCTTTAGTAAATTACATAACCTTTCTGAGCCTCTGCTTCCTCATCTATAATATGAGTATAAAAATCATACTGATTTCATTGGGTTGTTGTGAGGATAAAATTACTTTATGTATGCGAAGTGATTAGAACAGTGCCAACAGAGCCCTAAATATATTTGCTATTGATTTCCCATCAGATTTAGGATTAAAAAAACTCCTTCCCTTGGCCTTATAAATCCCGCAATCTGCCCTCTATCTGCTTCTCTGGCTCCAACCTCCTCCGTGTGTTGCGGCCATAATAGCCTTTCTCACTCAAATCATGCCAACTTTTTATTTCCTCATGAGACACTTGCACTTGCTGTTTTCAGTGACCTCAGGGCCTAGCACAGCCTCTTCTCTGAAATACAGCGCAGCACAGTTGAAGTGCCTTCCAAAGCCCATAACAAATGTGAACATGTCAACATAACTTGAAAAGATAATGTGGACAAGGCTTTTTGAGCAAGCAATAGGAATATAACTGGAAGCAAGATTCTTTTGAGTGTTGTAATGGCTGCATGGGTAAGGCATGAACTTCCACCTTCAAAAATTAGCTCATTTGTTTTGTTTTGTTTTGTTTGTGAGGAAGACTAGCCCTGAGCTAACATCCAATGCCAATCCTCCTCTTTTGCTGAGGAAGATTGGCCCTGGGCTAACATCCGTGCCCATCTTCCTCTACTTTATATGGGACACCGCCACAGCATGGCTTGACAAGCGGTGCATCGGTGTGCGCCCGGGATCCGAACCCACGACCCCGGGCCGCCAAAGCGGAACACGCACACTACGCCACCTGGCTGGCCCCAACTCATTTGTTTTATCTTTCATTTTCCTCCCCACTCTCCATACCCCCAGCAACTGAACCAATGTCGGGCATAGAGAAGACCACAATATTCACTAAGTGAATACAATGAATAATGAATGAATGGTGGTGGGGTGACCACTCTCACAGAGATAAAAGGAATATATACTAGTACACGTTTATGTTTGCTATTTATATCTAAAGTTCATATATGTGCTTAACTTGCAGTGGATATCTACAGTATGGTCAGCTCAGCACCTCCTTTCCCCTGAGAGGTAGAGTACCTCCCCCCACACATGGACATTTTGGGGACTGCCAAATTCTTACAGGCCCCAGGCCCCAGCTGATTGGCCCAGTTGGAATCAGGAATGCCACCCCTAATTCCTTCTCCCAGGCCGGTTCATTAGCCTTCCTCTTTTTTTTTGAGAGACAACTCCCAGGCAGTGGTGCAGAAAGACTTAACGCTTGGGAAGTGTTAGCAGCCATGTGCTCCACCCATACCATGAAAGCAGTTGGTTTGTAAAGAGAATGAAACTAACAGAGAGAGGCCAGACAGGAGAGACAAGAGGGGGTCTGGAATTTGAGTCCCAGTTGCTCTGGAGACCCTCCTAGTCCTCTTCATAGTCTGGAGGTTCAACTTATCCTTCAATCATGTAACAGCAGAGTATCTTTTCAATAAATTCATCTTTTGCTTACACTAGTTCAAGTAGAGAGTACTGACTAATGAAATACTCCTTTGACTCTGCACAGTAAAATCATCTACAGATTTCTTAAAACCAATGCCACGAGGCTGGCCCGGTGGCATAGCGGTTAAGTTCACGCGTTCTGCTTCAGTGGCCCGGGGTTCACACGTTCAGCTCCCGGGCGCGGACTGACGAACTGCTTGTCAAGCCATGCTGTGGCAGCAGCCCCTATCAAGTAGAGGAAGTTGGGCACGGATGTTAGCCCAGGGCCAGTCTTCCTCAGCAAAAAGAGGAAGACTGGCAACAGATGTTAGCTCAGGGCTAATCTTCCTCACACACACACAAAAACCAAAACAAAAAAAAACCCAATGCCACAGCCCCACTCTAGAACAATGAAATCAGAATCTCTGTGGTCTGGGGCCTGGGCATTGGTAATTTCTTGAGATACTCAGGCTCTTCCAAATATTTCACTTTGAGGCCTCAATCTTATCAGGAATATTCATTATAACCAGGTGTGCAGACATGTATTTTAATCCTCACAAGACTGAAAGACTTTATATAAACTTTTAAACATGTAACAACTATCAGACCCCCGGAGCTCCTTCATCCCATTGTAATAGCAGTTCACATCACAACTGTTTTTAAAAAGTTTTTTGTCAGTTCCCACCCACAGACCCACAAAATCAAATCCTCCCAAAGTCAGAATTTAAGATTTCTCAACGAATTTTAGCCCCTTCATCCTTCTTCCCCCAACACACACACACACAAATTCATAAACAAATGATGTTGTGACTCCTAACAGTGTTATAAGGTTATTGGATTAGTTATTTCCATGCAAGAATTTGCAAAGCAGCCAAAAATTGGTTTTGTACCTCTAAGCCCACACTCTCTTCAAGATTATAAAACGGTTAGGTCAAAAAGAAGGGAAGAGATCTCTTTGGAGAGTTGCTCAAGTGTTATGCAATGTCCAGCTTGCTCCCCAAGAGGGTATGATGGGGCTCTCCTCCCCCTTCAATTTAAGCTTAATAGAGCCTGGACTGTGTCCTCTGGAGTCTCAGGAGCCCAAAGATCTATACCAAATATGTACCAGAAAAAAACAAGCAAGACTGGCCAAGTAGCTGTCTAATAGAGAGGTGTTTACTTGGGAACAGCCTACATTCCTAAGATTTTTTTCAAAAAGGATGCATGAATGTTTCACATACAGAATCGGCCTGTGGCCACTTTAAACTGGACTTTGCTAGCTCTAGGCAAAGGATGGTATACTGGAAACCAGGGACTGAAGGAAGACTCAAAAGTGGACACCTGGGAAAAGGCATTACCTTTATCAGTGATTCTTAATCTTGAGCGTACAACAGAAACCCCTGAGAGCTTCTTAAACTACTCTTGTTGGGCCCCACCCCTAGAGTTTGTAGTAGGTCTGGGATGAGGCCTAAGAATTTGCATTTCTAACAAGCCCCCCAGTGATGCTAATGCTGCTGGCCCAGGACTACACTTTGAGAACCACTGGCCTACATTAAGAGAAAAGGCCAGCAGAGAACCTCAGATATAAAGCAGACTCTCCACCACGACCTTGGTTGAAGAGAAGTTGGAGGGCAAAATAGTAAGTGCAGAATAAAATTTCAGTGCTCAAAACAAGTTGACTTCGTGCTCAGATAAAGTCATATCATCTGGGGTAGGGGTGGGCGGTGGAGTTAATAAAAGGAGGGCCTAGTCCTCAGTCATTCAAGAACCCAAACTGCCTGCACCTTTACCATCTTCAAGTGGCTTCCAAAGTTATCCTGGGTGTGGCCATCCAACCAGATAAGAGAATGGAGGGTCACGCAAGTAATTTTTGAGGCAGGCCTGGATTTTTATACCCATATTCCATGGCTAAGAATTTAGTCACGTGGCCTTACAAAGATGCAAGCAGAGTGGGGAAATGTAGTCCCTGGCAATGCAGCCATTATCTCAGCAACATATCCCAGGGGAGCAAGAATCTCCAGTGGACATCTCACAGTCTCTGCCACCAGACCCCCTTCCCACTGCAGCCTTCCAACCTTAAGCAAGTCTGAGTTCAGCTTAAAAGGAAATGTATAGCTAATTACATAGACATTTTAATTACTAAAATGAATGTTTGTAACTAAAAGTGACCCAAGGACTTACTATCTGAGTGACTAGAAAAAAGTTATGGGACCCATCCAGAATAGGGACAAGAGGCTGACATAGTATGTTTACAGGAGGAGTCAAGAGTTAAAATTGCTGTTTTATAACTACGGGATTCCTCTCTTTTAACATGTTACACTACTTTAGAGATTAAGCAAATTTTTAAGTGAAATAAGTCAAAAGATTTCATAATTTCACATTTATACAGTTTGATATTCTTTATCTATCATTCTTAAAGCAAATGACAAATCTACTTTACAAGGTCTGCTATTACTGAGGACATCTTCAATGTTTACTGCAACTCCAAAAACAGGAAGGTTCCACACAAAAGCAGCAAACATTTTCCTTTTTAAGGTGATTACTCTTAATGTAGGCACACTCATTTGCCTATGCTTGCCATAAAGTGAAATTACCGCCTATGACATCTCATCATTAATGAGGTTGGAGAGTCAAGCCATTTACATGACTTATAGTTATCTCTTTTAAGACTCTCCAAGAGCAAATTAACTAATATGTGATGCTATTTACTGAAAGGAAAAAAGAAAAGCTAGAAGAAAAAGAAACATCCTTCATGGCCTTTCATTCATTTCATCAATTAGGACACATAAGGCAGCATCTTTCTCTATAATCTGATCTCTCCTATGACCTGAATTTTCTCTTTGTTGTTCATTCTGTCCAGAACAATTGTCGCTATCATCAGCATCCATTGGTTCAGTTTTTACTCTGATCCCTGCTTCTGAATGAGGCAAATCATCAGGCAAAGAAGCCAAGCAATTTTGAATCATCTCAATGACTCTTTCCAGATGCTTTTGAAACCTCTCAGCTGTTTCAAGGCGTTGACGTTTCTGCACCTCCATCATGACTCTCAAGGTCTCTCTTGCTTGGTGGGGTCGGTATTCATTTATGAGATGATGCACATGGACAAAAAGCAGCTTAAGATCTTCTAGCTTCTCTTCTCGTTTTATACTCCCAGGGCTCCTTATCAAGATATCTAAGAGGTCTAAGAAATTAATAAGGATAGACATATTGAGTTTTCTCAGTTCTTTCTTGTGATCAAACTGCATAGGATGAAGCCGTTCGATGCCCTGACTTTCTAAAGGGCGGATGATAAGGTCATCACACTGGAACTGGTTGCCAAACATCATATAGCTGTCTTTTATTGGAGGTGGAGGCTTGGGAGCTAGGCCTTCCTGAATATTTTCATCTGTATACTCCTTGATGTACTGCATCGGAGGTGGTGGAAGAGCACTCACTTGCTGTGGCTCACCCATTGTGGGAGATCAAGAACCTAGAGGAACAGACCAGAGATTCAGAGTAGAGCTACAGAGCAAACATGTCACATTGGGTGACTACAGACAGAAGGTTTTCCCTTTTTCCCCCATGGCAGTTTGGGGCCCAGGACAAAATATCTCCTTAGTTTCTACAACTAACATTTAAACAGGGAAAGGCTGCCATCCTTTTTTGGTTAGCATTACATCCTCAATCATCCAAGTATTTTTCCTTCTCTACTGAACAGTCATGTGTTGCTTAACAACAGTGATACATTCTGAGAAATGAGAAATCCTTAGGCAATTTCATCATTGTGCAAACATCACAGAGTGTACTTACACAAACCTAGATGACATAGCCTACTACACACCTAGGCTATATGGTACTAATCTTATGGGACCACCATCATCTATTCAGTCCATCATTGACCAAAACAGTGTTATGTGCCACATGACTGTACTTTCATCAAAACAAAAAACATGCTGTAGTATATTTTCATCTGTAAAGAAAATCTTCTGGATTCCACACCCCTCACCAGTTATGCCCCATTTCTCTACTCCTCTCTATAGCCAAACTACACACACTGTCTACCCATCTCATTTTACAACCACTTTTGTTTTATATTATAGATTGATTTCCAAAAGCAAACACTTACTTGTAACTCCAATAAACACTCTGACAAAATTAACACTGCTATCTTCCAGAAAGCTGGTATCATCTGAGCTTCTCTGATGAAACGATGATTAAATTTCATACCCTTTTTTTCCGCAACGTACTCTACAATTTTTTATGGACATGTGATTTTTCTACATCTACTACAGAAAATTTCAAACACAAATGTATTGTCTATGGCCACAAAAACCTCTATTTATTTCATTTTAAGCTTAGGTACATCATAAAATGAGAAATTCTCAAGTGCTCATTTAGACTAATCTTATCAGATTTTCAAGATACACCACCATCCAACATCAGAGATGGCAAGTAATATACCGGCAGTTTTACACTTGGAACTTGTGAGGTACTAAGGGCAGCTGTGGTGCAGCCCTGAGTTTCCACCAAGCCACAGTGGTGGATAAGACGCTGCTGTGAGTCAATGAGTCAGTGGCCATGGGCATCGTGAGTTACTGTAACTATACCAACCCACAATTCATCACTTTAGTCACCTTCTGCATATTCATTTTTGTCTTTATCCAGTCTAGCTTCAACCTCCTACCTCCACAAAAACTGCTCATCAAGGTCATCAACAATCACCACACAACCAAATCCAATGGACAGTTTTCTAATCTTAATCTCTCTGCAGCACTTTTTTCCTTTCCAACACACTCCCCTTCTCCCTCAGCTTCTGTGAGCCTGCATTTATGTTTTCCTCCTACCTCACGGGCCACTCCTTCTCAGTCTCCTTAACTGCCTCTCCTTCTCTACCCAAACGTTAAGGTTGGTGTGCCTCAGAGGGCTGCCCTGGGCCCTTTTCTCTCTCTAAATTAGGAAATCACAAACTCAAATATCAGAGAGAAAAGGCAGGCAACATAAAGAGTGAAGCACTCTGGGGCAGGGATTAGGGTGAACTAAGCATACGCATGCCAAATCTCAACAACTCCAGCCATTAGCATTCATGTGGAAATGAAGTTTCATTGTTCCTCAGTTTCTTAATTTTTCAAGAGAGAGCCAAAATCCAGATTTTTAGGTGAAATCTCTCAATTTTTAAATACTGGTCATTAATTCCAGAAATTGTCAAGTACTGTGGAATCAAAAATAACTTATCCACAACAATCTTTGTGGTCTGCTGGCCAAGACCTCTGCTTTGTATTCTCCCTTGGGTGATCTTAGTAAATTCCATAGTTTTTAATACCACTTCTACAAGTGGCTCTCAACCAGGGGCAATTTTGCCCACCAGGAGTCATATGGCAAGGTCTGGAGACATTTTTAGTTGTCATAACTGGGGGGTGGGAGGGGTATGCCATTGATGTCTAATGGGTAGAGGCTGGAGATGCTGCTAAACACTTAGAATGCAGAGGACAGCCCCCTACAAAAAAGAATTATCCGGCCCCAAATGTCAATATATTGTGCCAAAGTGGAGAAACCTTGGTCTGTGTTTATGACTCTTTACTTCATATCTCCAGTCCAGACTGCCTCTGAGCTCCTTCTGGATGTCTCACAGGGCGTTCAAACTTAAAAAAGACAAAAAAAATTCTTTGATTCCATCCACTACATGCACACACACCCTAAACCTGTTCTTCCCATAGTTTCTAATCTTCCCTAGCTCTGTAAAGTGTCCCCTTTGTCCACCTAATATCCTAGCAATACTGTCTTCAATCTAGTATTCTTACACAATTCTTCTTTATACCAACCTCTTCTGCCTTTGGGTCTTTCCACATGCTTTTCTTCCTGCTTCAGGCACTACCTTAAAACGTCACCTCTAAAGAAACATCTTCTCTGATTATCTACCAAAAGGAGATCCTGCCTTTTCTCTTTTATCTCTGTACCAGGATCTGATTTGTCTCCCCGTCCAGACTATAAGCTCCATGAGGGGAAGGACTATGAGGATCATAGTTCTCATTGTGTCTATAACCTTGCACACAGGAGCTTCATCAATATTTGTTGAGCAGCTCCATCCACTTCAAGAGGGCTCCAAATCAACCGGAATTTGGAAGCAGATACAAACGTCCTCAACGTGTATTCATTCCTTCAAATATTTATTGTTTGTCTAATATATGACAATGAGTATCCAGGGATGATGATCAGGATGATAGATGATATTTAAGTCCATACTATGTGCCAGACTGTTCTAAATACTTTTTTCATGGTTGTGAGACATCTGAGAAAAGAAAGGTACTCTTTCCATTTTAGAGATAAGACAACTGTGGCTCAGAAGGGTTGAGCTGCTTACGTAAAGTCACAAAGTAGTAGAGGAAGGATCCAGAACCTAAAGATCTCAAACACTATACTATCTTTCAAAGACAAACAAGAAACAGTGCCTCCATCCTAGTACTGCTTACAACCTATCAAGGAAAACAGACAAGAAATAACTAACTACAAGGCTACTACAAAAGACCAACAGATCTAACTACCAAAAATAAATTTAAAAGTTCCATACAGGAAAATATCATAAGCAGAATTAAAAGATAATCCATTTTTCTGGGAGAAAAATGCTTGCAAGCTAACAAAGGGCAAATACTAAAAATTTTATTTTGATTTTTTAAAAATGCATTGCCTAACTCCACCTCCACTAGAAGGAAAGGACTATGACTCCAGGAAGTGCCTATCTTGTTCACAACTCTAATCCAGCACCTCAAACAATGCCTAGAAGGTGCCAGATCCTCAATAAAGGTCCACTGAATGAGTTTTTTTAAAAAAAATCTACATTAAAAAAATAGACAAAAGATGACGAGGAAAATACAAATGCTGAATAAAAGCTAGAAAATATTCAGACTAATACCTTTTTTTTTATTGGTGAGGAAGATTAATCCTGAGCTAACTAACATCTGTTGCCAATCCTCCTCTTTTTGCTGAGGAAGATTGGCCCTGGGCTACCATCCATGCCCATCTTCCTCTACTTTATATGTAGGACGCCGCCACACCATAGCTTGATAAGCAGTGTGTAGGTCCACACCCGGGATCCAAATCTGTGAACCCTGGGCTGCAGAAGAGGAGTGTGTGAACTTAACCACTACGCCACCGGGCCGGCCCCCAGACTAATACACTTTTAAAAGCAAATTTTAAAAAGAATACTTTTGGGCCGGCCCCGTGGCGCAGCGGTTAAGTGCACGTGCTCCGCTGCTGGTGGCCTGGGTTCCGATCCTGGACATGCACCGAGGCACCGCTTGTCAAGCCATGCTGTGGCAGCATCCCATATAAAGTGGAGGAAGATTGGCACAGATGTTACCCCAGGACCAGTCTTCCTCAGCAAAAAGAGGATTGGCATGGATGTTAGTTCAGGGCTGATCTTCCTCACAAAAAAAAAAAAAAAAAAGAATACTTTTCATTTATCAGACTATCAAGACTTCAAATATTCCATCATTCAACAAATACTAGAACACCTTCCATGTGGCAAGCCCCAGATTCCCGCAGAGGTCACATTCTCCTTCCTCTCAGTTTCTTCAGAGTGGTCATCTCAATCTCAGAAGCAGGCTCTTAGCTATTCTGGCCCTGCAGGGAAGCCGCCTCTGGTGGAGAGCATCCATTCCCCTCAGCTCTCACAGAAGCCACCATCACCACCACCACACAATACTCTTAGCCGGTAGATCAGTACCACCTAAGAGAATCTGAGGAAGTCTCATATACAACTGAGAGGAAAGGAAACAAATATATATTTGGAATTTAATTTGGCAGTATCAAAATTTTAAATGCTGATATTCTTTGAACCAATAATTCTATTCCGAAAAATTTATCCTATAGAAATATTGGTACAAGTACACAAAAACGTGTATAAGGATGCTTAATGCAGCCCTGTTTGAAAAAAGAGCAGGAAACGTTAGAAATAACTCATGATTTCATCAATATGAGGGCTGGACAAAATACATCTACATAATACAACACAGCCATTAAGGCAAAAGGGGTGCAAGTACATGGGGTGGGGTGGGAGGTTATAAACACTGTGTACTGTTTCATTTACTTACAACACACTTATGATAGTTACAAATAGTCATAATCAACTTTTTAAAACTTTTTAACATAAATTCAGACTTATAGAAAAGTTGTATCAACAGTACAAAGAAACTTCCATATTCTTCACCCAGATTCTCCAAATATTAACATTTTCCCCTCATTTGCCTTACTGGTCTCTCATCTCTTTACCCTCAAATACTTCAGTGCGTATCCCCAAAACAATGTTCTCTTATAAGCACATAATTACCAAAATCAGAGAATTAGCATTGACCTGGTACTTCAAAATAAATTTTAGACAGCCCAGGTTTCACCCCACTCAAGCCTTTTTAGGTTGGGAGTCCTGTTTTGTGCTTCCCAGCACCACGTGCATTCCTCTAATTAAGCTGCCATTTTCCAAAAGCCAACTACGTGACA